CACCACAATTAAAAGCCATCGTAGTGTAGGTCAAATAATAGCTTATTAAAATAAGACTATCTCAATTAATAAATACTATATGAAATATCTCATACTTTCAATACTTATTAATTTCCTTTTATTTCGGTCAAGAGAATAATTAACTAATTTTACTATCTTTTCATGAGTGTAACCAACCATTTCAGATCTCTTAGACTTAACTTAGAAGTTGCCGCCATAGGTTAGGTCAATTCTAAAATACATCTTTAAGATTCTATCTCTTTGGAAGACAACCTTGTTATAATAATTAATGAACACCCTCCATAGGGAGGATGAAGTCAACGCGTCTCGGGGCTCGACTAATTACTCATGGTGTTGTACTAACGGTGGAGACCTATGGGTTATATTGTCATATTACCCACTCCCACTCATAATTTGCAAATGGTGTATTCATTTTATAAAATAACTCTTGCTTTATAATTCTTAGTGAATTTAAACAATTTAAGTCACTAAGTCCTATAAAATTTTAAACAACTTTAAAATTATATTAAGTCATTTGTGATCATTTTAAAATTTAACATTTAAATTTATAAATTTCACATTTGACTTATTTCAATTTTGCAAAACCATTTGCTAATTTATTTTAAAATTTAATCTCATTAAATTTAACAACTTTAAATTTAATATTATTAAATTTAATAACTTTGAATTTAATCTCATTAAACTTAACAATTTGGTGCATTTAATTAATTTACTTTACTAAAATAATTTTAAATTAAAATAAATAATTAATGTGCATGATGCATGTCATATATATAAACTAGGTAGACACTTTCTATCCTATAATGGCATGTTAGATACATGACAATATAATTATTATCAATCATAATAAATAAATGAATAAATGAAGACATGCAAACAAAATGGAAAAACTTAGCCGGGTTCCATAGACCTAAGAATTACAACCTAAAAATAAATAATACTAATAATAATAAATTATATCATATATATTGGGTCTTCTTGTAATTCTCTATCTTCAAGTCTTCTTCATCTTCATGTCTTCCTTTTGGTGGATTGTTTTCATAAACCAAAAAAATAATTAAAAAAAAATGTTTCGGCTGCTCAAAGCAGCCCTAATGTGATCTAGGCCGGCTGGAAAGTCTAGCCCATATCACTTAAACCTCTGCCTCTAAGGTAGAGGTGGCCCATTTGGATCTCGGCCTGGCAGCAACCAGTGTGCCCGTGACTGTACTTGACGGTGTTGTCACCTGCAGCAGCCATGAGGCTGTTGCAGTTCTGCCATGGCCGACGTTCGGTCATGGCAGCCGCCCAACTTTTTCCGGTGACTGTCACATGATGATCCATCCACCATTGAAGAAAAATAAAATTACATATTGATTCTTATTTTACAATTGGTTTAATCAAAATAAAATAACAAAACTTAATTTCATGGAACCGAAAAAATTACGGCCAATCCATTTGCATAATTTATAAACATCACACAAGAATCATACATCATATGCATAAGTGCCTACCTATTAAACATACATAATTATCACAAAATCAAACGTTAAATTTGCATGAAATAAAGACCGCTCTGATACCAATTATTGGTTTCTCAAACCGGATTTTCAAAAAAAATTGTGTGGAAGCGTGGTGTCGATCGAATCACATAAATAAAAAATTAATGCGATCATTATTTAATTTTAATTTAACTACAAAGATATTAAATAAAAGAAGAAGAATATTATCGTCGCTTGATTATGACATTAATCTTGAACTCCTCCAACACTATCTTGAGCTTTAAATTTCAAGTACATTACGGCTCTTTCTAAACGTATCTCCGGATCAATGTTAACTTGAATGAATGGGGTTCTAATGAGTATCTCAACTCATGAGGTTGATGAATGAGAATATCACATATGATTATCATTCACTTTTCTCAAAAGTATATGATGTTTCTCAATAATCTTTTTCTCTATATAGTTTATATCTCACACATTTTTAAAAATAATACGTTCTTCTTTTTAAGAGGTATCAGAGAAATTTTTAATTATTTAATTTAAACAATTTTAAATCAAATAACCTCCCACTACCACATTTAGTGGGATTTTCCTCATCCACTTTCTCTCCTTTTTACGTGCACCTTCCCTTTTTTTAAAGAAAGTATATATACATATACAAATATACACGCACACGCACACGCACTCACGCAGGAGGGGAAAGTTCCTTTTGCTTTCCTCAATGTGAGGAAAACTGCATCAACACGTTTCCTTCCTCTTTTTTTTTTTTTTTTTTTTTTTTTTTTTTTTTTAATATTATGGCCAAATCTTATTGGCCAAAAAAAAAAAAAAAACTTTTCTCAAAATGCAAAACGTGGAGAGATTTAGAAGTGAGAAAAAATTTCTCTCAAGTCATTAGATTCATCCATATTAATTTAAAATAATTTTAATATTAATTAATCAAATTAATTAATATGTGTATTTAAAATTCTTAATTCTAAATTAATAAACACAACCCAATATGATATATATAATTTACATTAATCTTTTAGAATCGTTGAGAGAAATTATGGACATTATAATTTTAAGCTGCAATAATTTTGACAATTAATTAACACCTTAATTAATATATCAAAATTATTAATTCCAAATTACTCTACTATAAATTTAAAATTGCACTCTTAAAATTATAAAAAATTATTTTCACGGAATTTGTGTTGTCCATTGATATAGTCACTACATACGAATTAATCCTCTATAAATGGTTCATAATTAAAGCTAAAAATTTTTCGTTGACCACTTTAATTATATCCTTCTCTATAAGTACCATTGATCCTCTAATGAATAATATATTTTATGATTCAATCATAAAATTGAGCACTCTTATTATTCAAGTCCCGAATCAACACTTATGGGAACCGTCCATCTACTTCATTATGAAGGAATGAATTTCATCTTGTAAATTAATATTCTTGGCTATTTATTTTACTATGCTCCCAATATACCAAGACTTTAACACTATTCATATGTGTCATTGCTCAATATATCAAAGAACATAATATTATAAATAAGAGTATTAATTACTCAGAATTAAGATTAATTCATATATGACCATCATTGATTAATATTAAATGCTCTATTTAATAACATAATTGATTGGAGATTCATAATAAATCGTGTTCCGGTCCTATGTAATCATATTACGTAAAGTGCTTTCATTCCAATAATCTCATTATTAACAATCTAGGATAAGATTGTTTCATTCAGAGTGTAATGAACCGCACTAGTAATTTTAAATTAAACACCCCAATTTTAATTTATAATTACAGATAAGTTTAGATTATTTTACTTTAAATATTATGCTCTGCATATAACATTTATATATAATGTTTAAAGTTAGGTCTAAAATAATTTAAGGATTTTTTATATTTATAAAACATCACATACATACAAAATAATATTAAAAAAATTTCTCATTTGATTAATAATTAGCATAATCTTTACATCTTATTTGATTTATGTACATATACTAACATATTAAAGTACTCATATTTTCGCCGACACCCAATATTTTCGTCCTTGCTCTACCCATATGGGCCTGCGCCAATTTTTTTGTTTTTTCATTTTACAGGCATGTACAATTTAAAATAAAAGACACGAAACATCACTTGAATGGATATTATGACTAATTTTTCAACTAATTAGGTACGAATCATTGCACGGAAAAATATTATACTAGTTTTAGGTTGAAATTGAACGTGATTACAGAGACTTGAAATTGAAAGTTTCGTAGCCCGAGAGACAGATTCCTTCTGCCCATACCTCACATGAACTCATATTGGGCCCCACAGGCTAAGGAAGTCAACATAGTTTTCTGATCTTTTCATCTAAATTTAGAGGTGAAATTATGTTTGGTAGAGGGATTCGTTCCTTGATTCGAATCATGATTCATGGTTCGCTACAGTATTTTGTCTCACAAAAAAATTCACGTAAATCGAAGATGGTTCGAATCACATAGTTTGAATCCTCCAACCAAACGTCAGCGGCTCGACGACCTGAATAGAAATTTTAAGCCGGTTCGGCCCATTTTTAAATTGGAGAGGAGCGACTTAATCCAGTCTTAAAATCTAAAAGATTAAGATCAGCCCAACTGGATTAAAAATCTTAGATGGTATTTTTGAAAAACAATTCTTTAAAAAGATGATGTTTAGGTTGCATCGGTCCAGCCCAAGTAAACATTTAGGCTCGAAATCTTAGCCTCACCCGAAGGTAAATGCTCAACTCAGGCCAACATTGGTGTGTCTCGGACTCGTCCGTTTAGCCCGACTCAGACTTACAGATCTATTGTAAATACAATGATAACATATTCAACAAAAAAAAAATTTCATAAAATGAGAATATATAAAATACGGAAGTCTTTACAGTGAAGTAAGTTATTTTATTCCATCGATAGGAACTGTGTATATACCGTTAGATTAATTTTTGAACAGTAATATTTGTAGTAGAAACAGTTTTGTATGGCGCACTGTAAATCTTTAATACAGATCTGTACATATTTGACAATTAAAAAACTAATCCAACAGTTAAAACTAATTGTTTCTACAGGTAAAGTAAAATAGCATGCTCCGCTGTGAAAATTCTCCTAACATATTCAAAAAAAAATCATAAGATGAGCAGAGACGAAGTTAAGTAAGGCCTGAGGGCCCTCAACTTTCTAAATTTGTTTTTAAGTTACATGTATCTATAGGTATATGTGTAGGAAATTAGATTAGCCCCCCTAAAAGTTGAAAATCTAATTTTTAAACTTTCAAAATTAAAAAAAAAAACTTTTTAATATTACTTTCTAAAAAGTATTTTCGAGACTTTAAAATCCCATTGGAAACAATTTTTTGTTTTTTTTAAGTTCTATTGGAAACAATTTGTAGTAATTTAACAATTAACTTTTAATGAATTTTTGATGTAGCTAAATTAGTCTCCTCATAAAAATTTCTGGGTTCGTCACTTAAAAGATGATGAGAATATATACGTGTAACACTCGAACAAAACTTGTGGTAGATAATCAAGGAACTGTACAATAATGGATAAGTCTCTTCCCCTCCATTCTTGCCATGTCCAAAAACTCTCCCTCATCATCCACCGAACTCATACTAGTCTACACTCAATAGCCATATCCTTCCTTCTTTACTATAGAGCTTCTTTCTTCTTCCAAGACACTATATGGACTACACCCAAATTACTATTTCCATGGCTATTCATCTCCTCTTCCGAGCTTGTCATCTCCTTCATCTGGCTCCTCGGCCAAGCTTATCGGTGGCGTCCGGTAACTCGCTCCGTCTTCCCCGAAAGATTGCCCGGCGACGAAAAACTTCCGTCCCTCGACGTCTTCATTGTCACCGTGGATCCAGAAAAGGAGCCAACTTTAGCCGTGATGAACACTGTTTTGTCGGCCATGGCGATGGACTATCCGGCGGAGAAGCTTCACGTCTATTTGTCGGACGATGGCTGTTCTTATTTGACTTTGAAAGGTTTGAGAGAGGCTTGGGCCTTCGCAAAGTGGTGGATTCCGTTTTGCACAAGTTATAAGATTGGTAATAGATGTCCGGAGGCTTATTTCTTTGGTGGTGAAGATTTGGACTCTGATTTAATTTGTAATGATGAGTTTAAGATCGAGAGAGAAAGATTAAAGGTAGTTCTCGCTCTGACTGTTTCTTGTTGGGAAAAACAAGGAAGATTTATATGCATGTATTTAAATATATATATATATATATTGTGAAATAAATATATGAAACATTCATGGAGCATCACCGGATCTAAACACTATTATTAATAAAATATTATCGTACTTATCATTATGTTGTGGGAGGTACTTTCTATTAGTGAATGATATTTAGCACTACTATTGTGAGTAAATTGAATATCTGAACTTTCTATTTTGAGTTGGTGCAGGAGAGATATGAGATATTTAAGTATAGAGTTAAGGAATATGCAAGAATCGGCGAGAAGAAGGCTAGCAATCATACTAGGGATCACCCAGCTATCATCGAGGTATATCTCTAATTTGTTTCTGTTTATTGGCTTAATAAGGAAGATGGGATAGGATTAAATTTTAAGTATACATTATTAAAAGACTGGATTGGATAAACTTTTATCCAGTTCATTATCAAACCCCCTTTAAAGGGGATGTTGTTATCGATCTGACTGAAGCATGAGATAATTTTTTACTATAGCACATTGTGAAAAACACTAGAGACATATTTGTAAAATCTTATAAAATTGAAATCATACTTGTTATAGGAGTAAAATATTTTAAAAAATTATATTTTTGCCTCTCAAATTTTAAAAAATTAATATTTGGCACTGAAATTTTAAAATGTTTATAATAATGTCCTCACCCTAATAACACAACACCAGACATGGGATTGGATTAAACTAAAATATAGTCCTAGACTTTTCTATACATTCCAATCCATTACCCTAAAACTATACTATCTTGTCCTGCGCACCAAACGGATGCCTATATTCACAAGAAATTGGTGCAATATTGGTTTATGAATTAGTTAGGCCTAACACTAATTAATTATCATATAATAAAAAGAGCATTCACAGCCCCAAGTAACATAACATTATGTTTACATATATTTGGCAGGTAATGCGAGACTCCTCGAATGATACAATGCATGTCAGAATCCCTCTCCTTGTTTATGTTTCTCGAGAAAAAAGGCCTTCTTATCCTCACCATTTCAAGGCCGGAGCCCTTAATGTTCTTGTATGTCTCCTATACATATTATCACTAAGCTCATTGTTTATATTATATGTTTTCATTGGTAAGTTATATTATATATTTTTACACACTGACCTATATGCACATACACCGCATATATTTGTTTTTATGGACTAACACACACACACACATATATATATATATATATGAATAAATATATCTTTTATATGTAATGTATATTTGCAGCAGCGAGTCTCTGGAATGCTAAGCAACTCTCCGTACATTCTAGTGCTGGACTGTGACATGTATTGTAATGACCCAACTGCAGCTCGGAGAGCAATGTGTTTTCATCTTGATCCCAAGATATCAAACTCTCTCGCTTTTGTTCAATTCCCTCAAAGATTTCGCAACATCAGTAAAAACGATATCTACGACAGTCAACTTAGATCTGTTTTCAGCGTATGTAAATACGTCACATATGTAAATAACACTCACATTGCGTGTGCACTGTCTTACCATTTATTATTATGTCAAAGCCCTAATATTTAAGACTTCTGCAGAACAAAAAAGTAATAATAATAACAATAATTAAAGCATCTTCTTGTACAATATTTTGCACAGCCGATTTTTTCATACTTTTGTTGAATAATATTGGAAGATTTTTGTGTCTAATTAGGTACAATGGCAAGGAGTAGATGGACAGAGCGGACCAATCTTATCTGGTACTGGTTTTTTTATGAAAAGATTATCACTATGTGGAAAAGACATTATCAAAGAAGGTACAAGTTTACCTATATTTATGAAGGTTGAGTTTAATATTTCAAAATTTATTGATACCAATCATTATTAATTTACTTGTTGCGCTTAACACACTCCCTTCTCGTTATAGTACTTCTCTTCAAACTTATGTTATCCTCTACTATGATAAGCTTTTGTAAAATGATCAAAATTTGGCCTTACATGTAGATCCGACAAATCTTAGACAAGCTTTTGGTCCGTCTAATGAATTTGTCAAAACACTGCTTCAAGGCGAAAACTACAAGCCTAACATGATGACTACTGGTGGAGATAAGACAACATTATTGCTAGAAGAGATGAAACTATTAGCTTCTTGTTCATATGAAATTGGCACTAAATGGGGTCAAGAGGCAAGTAAATTAAGTACACATATATGTACACATATATTTGCTTGACAAGTTCAAGCTTTATTTCATTTCATTTGGTTTTCCGAAATTCAAAGTAAATTAATTGAACTAATATGTACTTGTGTTACAATGAGGCAGGTGGGATTTCTATATGGTTCAATCGTGGAAGATTACTTAACTGGATTTACATTACACTGTAAAGGTTGGACTTCTGTCTATTGTGACCCGCCAAGGCCACAATTCTTGGGTTGTGGCACCACAACCTTGAATGACTATTTCATTCAAAACATGCGGTGGAGCTCTGGTTTGGTTGAAGTTGGTATCTCAAAGTATTGCCCTCTTATGTATGGTCTCTTTCACATGTCTATTTTTCAAAGCATGTGTTATGCAGAACTTGCATTTTCACCTCTTTCTTTCCTCTCCTCATGGTGCTTTGCCACCATTCCTCAGCTCTGCCTATTAAATGGAATTCATGTGTACCCCGAGGTAATGAAGAAAAATGTCGCTATAATATTGATTTTATTTCACTAATCACACATATGCGAGCACGCACACATGCAGAGAAGTAGTGCCATTTTGTAAGAGCATCTCCAACGCAATAACTAATTGATGTGTCATTGTCAAATTTTGATAATTGAGTGAAAAAAATCTTTCAATACAGTATTCTTTTTATGATAAATTTAACAAGTGGTATAAGCAAATGACAAATTTAACATTGCTTAATGGCTATTGATTACGACATCAAATTTTCTTATTTAATCATTAGATCAGTGTTCTTTAAAACTATTTTATATCAAGAGTTTATTGTTATAAGTTTCAAATCTTAATAATTATAATAAAAGGTAATTATAGCATTTGAAATAGCATTATGCATTTAGAGTACAAAATAGAATAGTACATCAAATATGTAATTTTGACACTTTTTACTGACAAACATATCATTAGCATTGGCATGCAATGCTTATTTACATTGGAAGTGGTCTAAAGATTATTACCAATTGTGAAGATGAAAAATATATATACTAACGTACAGGGTACAATGGCGTTGCAGGTCTCTAGTAGATTTTTCACGATCATCTCTTTTCTTTTCCTCTCGGTCTTGTCTAAGCATTTATACGAGGTACTCACAACAGGAGGGTCACTCAAGACATGGATAAATGAGCAAAGAATTTGGATGATGAAGTCAATCATTTCTCATTTATATGGATGTGCATATGTACTTTTGAAGAGGATTGGTATTAGCGAAGCTCGTTTCTTTACCACTAATAAAGTCGAAGATGATGGACAAGAAAATCTTTACCAAAAGGGCATATTTGATTTCCAAACATCTACTACGTTCCTCGCTCCGATGGCCGCCATAATCGTCTTGAACATGGTTTCCTTTCTTGTGGGGATTGCTAGGGCCATCTTCATCGGAGATTTAAATAAGATGTTTGCTCAAGTTTTTATCTCATTCTATATTTTGGTTATAAATTACCCAATTGTTCAGGGGATGGTAACAAGGAACGATAAGGGCAGAATTCAATCCTCAGTCACCGCGTTATCTACTCTATTTTGTGTGGTTTTCTTGGCATTAATATATGTCATTTCCTTGTACTGAGGTGTGTGCATACTCACACACACACACATATATATATGCTTGACAATTTCCAATTATCGGTATGTTAAACATTAATAAATCCCAGCTTTTCCTTTCAGGAACAAGCTAGTGCTGTTATCTATAGCCAAGTACATTCTGGATTTTGGTCTTTTTGGTTGATCGAGCCCCTACTTTTTTGGACCACTCCGTAGAATTATTATTATTTTTTTTCAGTGGGTTAATTGTTTGATAGGTTGTTATGGTTTAAATAAATATTGAAATTGCCAATTTTGGTCTTTATATATAGTTTTGTACAATCCTTAACGCTTTATTGAGAAAGGTTTAATTCTATAAGTGAAAAATTATCTTTGTGATGGTTATATAATTGTCAATTCATTTTTATATCTAAGTTTTGCCTACTGTGTGTCTTGTCGATTTTCTCCCTTTTCAAATTTGATTGTCTCCTGTGTGTTGCTGAGACCATTACACTATTTTGTTCCCCTTTCAATTAAAAAGGCTATACAGATTAACTATTTGTTATGGCATGTGTTGAGAAAATGAATTGAGATTCAATTTTCGTAACCCTTGAAAAACATTTTTTTTTTTTTTTTTTCATGGGAAGGTGATAGGTGACTTTGAATGTTCAGATTCTTACTCTTCGATTTTTACAGCCTTTATTTTATGATATAGGAGAACTCACATGATTAGTAAGATACTTGAAATTGATGTATTGTTGATTTGTATACAGTAATGTAGTGTTGATTTGTATACAGTTAATTGTGAGAATTCATGACACAAATGTTTGTTATGATTGGTTGGTGTGTTAATGAGTTAGTCTTAATAATCAATATTCATCTATCAGCATGAATTAAACATGCTAATAGCCTACGATTAGTATTTAATAACATGTTTTCACTAGTTGTGTTACATACCGTTAGTTTAGCAATCCGTCTCTTACACTGTTTCTTTCTAGAAAGAGTATGCTATCATGCTATTGTTGTTGGCTTTCTCAAACCTGACAAGTTTGTTCAAGCTTTTTCATGTCTAGTAATTAATTTACTTGTATATGTTCCAATTATTTTTCTTTTTTTTTTAAGCAAAAAAAAAAAAAAAAAAGGAAAGTGACTTGTTTTTTTTTTTTTTTTCTTTTTTTTTTTTTTTTTTTTTTTTTTTTTTTTCTCTTTTCATTTTGTTCCTTAATATTGTGCAATTGTAATGTCAGGATTCAAGTTTATCGGGAGAGATTCATGTTAATTTTAAAGCTGATTATAAAAGATATTGAAGTTGTTGCAAGAATACCTATAAGTGGATTAGAAATGAGCCAAAATGTCATTGTTGGACTTGAAAGAATTTTGTATTATGTATTTGTTTTTCATGTGGTTTTGACTTATGATGTCGCTGGTGCTCAACTAAATAAAAAGATATTTGAGTTGTTTTTTTTTTTTTTTGTATTTTTATATTAATCATTATTTGTGTAATAATTTTTGTAATCACATGATATTGTTTAAGAAAGATAAACAATCTAGTAGTTTATAAAAGATAATCCACCAAATTACTCTCTGGTGATCAGAGAGTAGTATGTCGATTGTGTGTTGAACATGTATAAGAAAGAGGGGAACTCTTGACGGTGCAATACAATATCACGCATACAAAGTCTGACGATCACCTACAGTGTAGCTACTTGCTCTTTGAAGCTGATGGTTATCCATGCTGACTTAATTTTTTGTGTCATGGCGTATCTTAACATCAGCTGATTCATTAGAGATGCAAGAACAAGCCGGTTCAGTCCATTCTCTTTAAGCCCACGTGGGCCGTGAGCCGGGCCAGCCTAGTCTATAAATTTTGTGAGCCGGGTAAGGCTGACCTGTATAAGAATTACCTTAGCCAGCCTGCACCACGGGCTAATTTTACGTGGGCCAGATTTGGCCGTGTCGTGGGCTGGGATGGGCCGTGCCATGGGCCTTGAATGAGCTGACTCATTCAAGGCACATCATGGGTTTAGATGACTCAGCTCATCTAAACATACAATTTTTAATTTTTTAATTTTTAAACAACTTAATAAATATAAACATTTGAATAGTGAATAGAAACATGAAAGTTGATATTTTATTTATAATTGTCTCATTAAATAAAAACCTCTAAGGAAAACCCAGTGGGACAAAACCTTAGTAAGAAAAAAAGAATACAATTAGCATAATTATACATAAAATGTTTACAAAATTTCTAAAAAAAAAGAAAAAAAAAACATGAAGATATAATGGACCTAGATGGCCGGTCTAGCTTGGCCTAAGTCCTACCTGGTTCATGATTTTTCATGGGTCGGGCCAGCCCAACCCATAAGCTGATATATATTGGTCCAGCCCACCAATATTTATAGGTTGGGTTGGGCCGTGCCATCTCTATGATTCATCCCCCAGTCGTGAATATTGAACAAGTGGACAACGAATATAAAATCTGCTCCATCTTCGTAAGCAATTGGTTTGAAGCATTCTACAAGTATAGCTATTCTACTTTTGAACTCGATGATAAAGATCTTGCTCAAATGTTCCGTCCATCATATTAGTTTTAAGATTAAGGATGTCACCTTGAAGACAATTTTTTTTAAAAAAATCCCCGTGTACTATTTAAATAAAAAATACAAAAAAAAAAGAATCCACCTCACAATTATAGTTTCCTTTTTTTTTAAAAAAAAGCTTATTTTTCATCTGCTTATTTTTATAACGTAAAAACATATTTAAAAAACATCATATATTTTTTTATGGGTTATTTTATTTACATACCTCTCTTTACTTTCCACACTCCCTATTTAATAATAATTTTTTAGTCGAAAAGACTCATGTAAGATGACAAAAAAGGACAATTATAATCAACTTAATTACATAATCAAATTTTATTATAAAAATATAACAATATTTTTTTCCTTCACACGCCCCACATGTTATGTTCTCAAATTACAAATAAATTTTATTTTCAAATCTATGTTAAAACTTTATTTTGTTCCATTCAATAGCTATTCCAAAAAATGACATAAAAGTAAGTTAAATTTTCTTTGCCCTTTATTTTATGGTGATTGTTCTTTTGCTTTCTCTTTCCTTTGTTTTGTGTTAATGTTTTTTAATTTTCTAATTATTTCATATTTAAAAAGGAAAATCATTTTATTTTATTTTATTTTTCGTTTCTCATAAAGTAGAGTTTTTTTTTTTTTTTTTATCATTTTGTTCTTTTTTATGCTTATTATACTGGTTTATTTATTTTTCACTCTTTTTCTATTTTATATTTTTAATCATACCTCAATAATATAATAACTTTGTTCCCATATTATTTATTTATTTATTATTTCTTGAATTATATTGCTTTCTAGTTTACATTTTTTAGTGTCCTTTATGTTTTCTAAAAAAAAATTTAATAAATTTTCTTCCTGTACAAAAAAAAAGCATCATGCTTAAAACTTCAACTAAAAAAATAGAGAAATATAGAAATGATAATATTAAAATAAAAAATAAAATAAAATATTAGGCGTGAAAAGAAAAATATCAAGAATTAATAATCCTATCAAAATAGTTTTAGGTAATTTTAGAATAATAGAGGTGTGTAAAAAGTAAATTCAACCATTTTAAAATTATGTGGGGTGAGTTTAGAAGGGGGTGTGGAGAGTAAAAAAGTGTGTATAAGTAGAACCACCCTTTTTTATTCTATAAAGAAAAAGATTTATAAAATTCTTAACTTACATTCAATTAGTAATGGAAGTTTCATAATTAAAAGTTTAAATTTAAATTAGTTTTAGATTCAAATTAAATTTTAAACTATTAGAATTATCAAAATACTGTAAAATAACAAATTAAATATCAAATTTTATTAAAAACCTTATAGATACATTTTTTTGTTAATATTTCATTACTTAGGGAGAATGAATGTTACGTATTAAAAATCGAAAGACAAAGTGTTATAAAAAGTATAATTCATAGAAATTTTTTGGTAATTAATAAAGAAAAATGTTGAACATCCCTTTTAAAAGTTAAAAAAGTTATGTTGTAATTGAACAATTAAAGTACCAAAAGTTACGTTAAAAGACCATTATTAGGTTTCTTTTTCTCAAAAGTTACGTTGTCGTTTTATAAAACCAATCTGTACTCAAAATAATTCTTTCACCTAGATAAAACATGTGGGACATTACCTAGAAGGTCCTACACGCCAATTTTACCATAATGCCAAATCATATAACCATTTCAACTTACTTCCACCGATTGCACAAATAAAAAAAAAAAAATTTAATAAATCTTCTTTGAGAAACAGTTAGACCCATTCTATTCCTCATTCTAGAGGTCCCTCATTCTAGAGGTCTCTCATTCTATTTATCGTTTACCTGCCCCGTTTAATTATATTTTATTTTTAAATTAGATATATTATATATAATATGTTATAATATATAATTTTAAGTATAATTTATTATACATAATATTTAGGAAAATTTAAAACTATATTTCTTTTTATTTTTTACTTTATCTATTTATGTTTATATTGTTCATTTATTTATTTATTTATTTTAGAATGAAAATAAATAATCGTGTAAATGAGGTACCGTGAATACTCCGAACCCGTGATGGGAAAATCCGTCACTACAAGAAACAGGGTTATTAGCGACGACAAAAAGTCGTTGCAAAAACTCGATGTATGTGCGCTTTCACTGTTTCGGGTGGATGCATGTCATGATTTCTACACTTCATGCACGGACAACTAATACGCCCGAGTGAATTTGCATAATTCTTTCCAACCTCAATAAAAGCACATAAACCATCCCAGTACTCATCAGACAACCGGTTCCTTAAATGTATCTAACTCCTGTCCATTAGCTTCTCCACTGCGAAAAATTTATAAAGTTTTATCAAATTTTATGAAAATTAACACAAGTTATTTTATAATAAGTATTTAACATTATTTTATTTAATTATTAATATAATCTTAATTAAAATTTTTATCTAATTTTTTAATTATCACATAATCATTATTAAACAAATTTTATACAAATTTTAATCTAATTATCACATTTTTCAATTTCAATTCTAATTTAAAATTCACAATTTAAAATTCAAAACCACAAACTATATCTAAAATCTAAAACAAAATTATAAACCATAACAAAAATAACAAAATCAATTAACAAAATATCAAAATATTAACTCACAAAATCCAAACCTACAAATCCTGGGGGTTAGAGAACGGTAAGGCAGCAAA